GAGCATATCTGCTATGTATTTAGGTCCTAGGCCATTGAGTGATTTATAAACAAGTAAAAGTACTTTAAAATCAATCCTAAGGACCTGAGGACTGGTGTGATATGCAGGGATGGGCAGTATTTCAGATACATGTATTTAAAATACGTATTTGAAATACAAAATACTATTTTGTATTTTGTATTTGAAAGCCTTCGGCAAAAATCAAATGTAATTTGTATTTAAATACATTTAAGATTAGTATTTTTGTATTTTCAAAATACATAAAATACTTTGTGCCAGTCAACCTCTTTATCAGTGTGCTGATTTAGTTCAGACACACCCCCTCCCCCAACCCCAACATCCATCACGTGAGCTGCAGCTGGACAACTCCATTCAGCGTTGCGTGAGTGACTTTTCTGGAATAAGATAAGGTGAGGATATCATGGTCAATTGTACATGTTGATTAAAGTTAAAATAGTGCATCATTCAGATTTGCCGTCAGTTAACATGAAAGAATAAAAGAGCACTGACAAGGGGAAAAATAGCGTTAGCCAATCAGTTTTAATAGCTAATCGTTTGTTGTTTTTTATCAACTAGCTTAAATGTGTTTAAAGCATTACTGCATGTTAGGGCTGGGTGATATGACAATACATATCGTGGCGATGATATAAAGTGTGAATCAACTGAACTTTTTCTAAATCGTTTACATAGATAGGCCTGTTGGGGAAAGCAAATATATCCGTGCAGCTTTTAGTGGGCAGGAATTATTCATTCATTCATTAGGTCCCAAATCAGCTGGACCACCTGGGGATGGAGCCGCCACTCTCCCGGAAGCGCAGGCTGTCGTGAGAGCTCGTTGGCTGCACGATTGAGCATGCCAGGGATGTGAATGGCCCAAAGCGACCTCAGATGCTTCTGACTCCAGAGGAGGAGATGACGGGCGAGTTGCGACATGTGGCGGGATTGTAGACCACCCTGGCGGTTGATGTACGCAACGGTTGCAGTATTGTCCATACAGACCAGCAGGTGCTTGCCATGTAGCAACCCTTTGAGTACCAGCGCAAGACGTACTGCTAACAACTTGAGGCAGTTGATGTGCCAATGCAGTTGAGGCCCCGTCCACAGACCCGACACTGCATGCCCATTGTACGTGGCCCCCCAGCCCGTGGCCGAGGCATCCGTGAACACCACAGCATGCCTGGACACTTGTTCTAGGGGGACTCCCGCCCGTAGAAACGAAGGTTCTGACCACGGGCTGAAGGTTTGGCGACAGTACGGGGTAATAGACACCCGGTACGTGCCGCTATGCCGTGCCCATCTCGGGACTTGGCCGTGAAGCCAGTGCTGAAGCGGGTTGTTTTTTATCAACTAGCTTGTCAAATGTGTTTAAAGCATTACTGCATGTTAGGGCTGGGTGATATGACAATACATATCGTGGCGATGATATAAAGTGTGAATCGACGGACATTTTTCTAAATCGTTTACATAGATAGGCCTGTTGGGGAAAGCAAATATATCCATTTAGCTTTTAGTGGGCAGGAATTATTCATTGATTCATTCAAAAGGAAGCATGGATGAATGAGTAATAGAATGTGATGTGCTTGGTGCAATTGCACTTATTATAAGTGTATATGTGTACCTTTATACTTCTATGGCTGTAGTTTATTTTGATACACTTAAAATTAAGGTATTTGGTATTTTATTTTAAAATACATTTTGATGTATCTTTGCCCAACCCTGGGTCTGACCACGGGCTGAAGGTTTGGCGACAGTACGGGGTGATAGACACTCGGTGCGTGCCGCTCTACCATGCCCATCTTGGGACTTGGCCGTGAAGCCAGTGCTGAAGCGACCTCATATGAAGCAACCCGAGCGGCGTTACTGCGGCCGCGGGTGCCATATGCCCCAGGAGCCTCTGAAAAAGTTT